GTACGAAAAATGCAGGCCCGGCCCGGGCCTTAGGGCCGTCCGAGAAAAGCTGTGACTTTGTTCATAGACAAGATACAGTTTTCCAAATAGTAGCATTTTGTAGCACTCGTCGAGTCATATCAAACTTAGGTGTTCCAAAAATATTGACTCTGAGAGAAACTATGCCAGGGCCCGCGAAGGCCCGACAAAGGCCCGGATTACAAGTATTAGAATCTTCTTTTGCTTTTTTGAAACAATTTTCTCAAAAAATTACTGTTTCAAAAACAAGAGAAATATAGAGAAGGTTGACTAACAGTAATCCTTGTCATGCTTGTTTTTTTTCAAAACTTGAAAATTTTTTTTTCAGGAAACTTCTAGAAAGATCTGGAATTGTTGTTAATACTCCCGCAAGAACTGTAAATTCTATGTCATCTTTAGGAAAGTGTCGTTAATGAAAATAAAGAACTTTCTGTTCTGGCGCGATTCTCAAAATTCTTCGAGAACCTTCCAGAAACGACTTTTGAGACTGTTCATATTTCAAAGCGATTTTTCGAGAATTTACAGTTTTTTAAAAATTATTATTCATCAGTTTCATGCGAACCTAAATATTTTCCGGCACATAAAGTTTTCTCAAAAAATTACAGTTTCAGAACTTTCATACGTTTGAAGCAAGTTTACTCGTTCTCAGTCCATATCCTGCCAGGTTTTGAAAAGATCAAGAAAATTTTATTGTCCTCATTTTCAAAGTGTGGTTTTTCATTGTGTTCTCTCATGCAGTATGAGTCATACTCTATATTTTTTATTTTTGAAACCCCCCGAAGTACTAGTACAACTATTCATACCATGTCCCCTATTCCCCCCAAATACTAACATCTGTGTCAATTGCAGCTGTCAAAATGAATTGTGTCATTTTCCCCCCACTTTTTTCGCTCTTTTTTCCCGCGATGTTCGCAATTTCGAATTGTATGAAAAAGAGACGAGAAACACAGAAACAATAGGGAATCCGATTATGAATTTGCGGTCTTTTTGTTGTCCCGTTGTGTCTTTTTTTTGCAAAAAAAAGAAAATGATACTTACGAAGTTCCGAAAAGTGTCTCTCCCGTGCCACATCCATTGTATTCGTTGCAAATTGGTCCTGAAAAAAAGGAAGAAGAAGATGACGAAAAGTCGTAAAAATGGCTATAAATCTATTTTTTCGTCTAGCCATTCAGTTTTCATGAGAAGATGAAAAACATCTGGGTTTGAACGAGACTAGGAAGAAGAACTTCTTCAAGTTTTCTAGAAGATTTATGTGAATTTGTTTGTTAGGTTTTTATTTTTATTTGATGGGCTAAAAAAAATGAAGATGATATTGATTTG